CATTACGTAGAGATGTAATGTTAAAAGTACAAGTACGCTGAGGTATGTTAATTAATGTGTAGCGCCTCTGAGATATGATATTTCGCCGCATATTGCTCTTAGTTGTCCAGGAAATTATTTAAGCAGGCCACGTCAAAGTTGAGGGCGTATAATATTATATATTAAATATTAAAACATATTAACATGTTATGTCCAGCTTAGTGATCTGTCTACCTAGGTAGACTGTAAGCTATTTCCAGTTCATTCTACTACGTTGATTTGACATTTTTACTGCATTGCCGCTTCATGCGCTAATCTCCATAACCGGCAGCAGTTAACGCAGAGGCTTAGCAACGATGCGGTAAAAGTAACATCTTACTGGTGTCGACCGAATTTCAGTTCATGCCGTTATGAACTATGCTATGCTGGTATGAAAGAAATTGCCACCCACTGGTACCCCATGCATTCCAGAATTAAAATAAAAACACTAATGCATCGCATCGCTATGTGTCATTCTGGAAAGAAAAGACGACATGAACAAGCTGATTTATAAAGGTCTTCTTGGAGACAGATGATCATAATCAATCTTTCAGCCCACGTTTAACGTTTATCGAAAATAGACGTATTCATTATTTATATGTACCATGCAAGAAGCAAATGCCGATTTTAATTAGAAGTATTAAGAAAGATCTCTCTGCAGGCTGTCTGAAATAGGAACAGTGCAGATCCGTGTCGTTGGCGTGTAAAAGTGATAAAAAGAGGTAGATAAACAAGTAAATAAGGCGATCGAGTATCATCTGGTACCATTTCATCAACAGGAAGACTAACACGCTGAGAGATGCTGCTGAAATATACGAACGGCACCAAAACTTAACCAAAATTGCAGCCTTGTATTAGTGTTTTTTTCCCTTGAACTTTAAGCCTGAATGCTATTGATAAATTGAACATCATGTCACGACCGCTCACTTCAAAATATACGTTGGGAATAACAAGAAAAAATAGAATGACCAGTGAATGGGTAAGGACAGATACAGGTCTACGATGTCATTGGAAGAACGCCGAAGTTAAGGTTGCAATGGGAAAGACACATGGCTGGAAGAACCTACCATCGCTGGACCAAAGTAACATTATGCTGGGTTCCAAGAAAGAGTGAACCGTGATGAGGAGCACCTACATACCGATCGAAGGGCAGGATGAACTGAATAAATTTGTCAGAAGAAGATATAGGATAAGAATCGCGGAAAGCAGAAGCAGATATTTTAAAATTTCGGAGACCGTTGAGATCTAGCGGTACATCGAAGAAGGCTGATGATGATTTGTTGTCCCCAAGTTCGACGTTAACGACTGTTTTTTTTCGCGACCCAGTGCCATGTTATTCTGTTTTGGTAACAAAAATTCCGTTCATTTTCGCTTTCCACCATAACTGATTCTGTTCATTAATTAAGAAACGAGCCTCGGAGCTCCCTATTTTCCGCTTGAATTTCATTCTTCTCTGGATTTGAGGGCTCTCTGCAACCTCAAAGCTGACAAGCTCTAAAAGGGAGGTAGGAGGTGATTGTGTGACCGGCAGTGGCACCGCCAAACGCGGTTACTCCTTGCATGTTTTTTCCGCTGCTAACGCATAAGTCACGACAAAAGGGGACGGATGATGAGTTTATTTGCAATTGTTAACGCATGCGCCATCGGCTAACGATTGATGGCCAACGACAACGCGAGAGGAGAGGGGGGCAGCTGTTACCAACGGAACGGCGTGTCAGGAAGGAAAACGACAAATGCAGACAGTCGGTCGAGGTATATGCTCTGTTTGCGCAGTTCATCAAGCTAGACAACGAAGAAGATGTCCCTTAAAACCGTAACACAGATGACTGTAGTTGTAGTCTGTACACGCATTTTCCTGATTGTCCACAACGACGGACATGAAATCTAATGAATTATCATTGTATGCTCACCAAGGGCTGGTGGAAGGGGGGGGTGTTTTCCTTTGTCTCCCTTCTGTCGACGAAAGCCAACTTGTGCGAGACTTGGAAGTGCCAAATAAAATATCTTCAGCACCAAATTGAATGTAAGATAGAACAACGTGGATACTTCAGATGACTAGAATATCTCAGGTATGATTGATTCAGTAACCTGGTACTGGATCATGTGCTACTGCAGATCAGGTTGATTTTCGGTAGTGTAAGCGTCGCACTCTTATATCTTGGCTCCACTAGAGAGTGGCTATCCACATCTTCAAATGTGCCAAGCTTGCATGATAGAACTCAAGAATATAATAACGCACGAGTCGCATTGTAAGAGCCCTCTATGAATGTCTGACCTTCTGTAATGTCAGTTTAAGGGTAAGTGGAATAATGAAAGCGAGAGCAAAAGCAGACTTTAATATGTTGAAAATGTGGTGCTATAAATGATTGTTGTTTATTTGCTGAAAGGGCATTAAGAACATTAGATAAGTCTTTGGAAGGCTTCGTATTCTACACTTCCGGTTGACGCAAGGCTTAATTAGCTTATTCGATGTCGCAAGTGGGCTATGGTATCCCCACGCATCTTGTCACTGTTCGTCATTATACTGTGTGTGTTAGATAATATTGGATGTGATTACAAGCCAATCACTGTGCCAGTCGCAGCTTGTCTATAGGTACGGCACATCTCCAGTCAAATAGTTCGTCTCTCATACTCTCCAACAATGAAGTTGTTGGTCTGTTATTGAAGGATAGGTCCGAATAATGCCATATTACATATGCGCCATGTGTCATAATGGATATATACCAGTGAAGATGGAATACCATCTGGAAACCTTGGGCAAGACCGGCGATACTAAGTGATGTGAGAAGGTAAGTGTAGCAGCTCACCATTTATACTCATAATACTGCTGGGAAACTTGACACAAAATTTGCTTCATGTTCTGCATTTTTTGAACAGAATATGCTAAGTAGTTGGTAGCATTACTATCATAGCGATGAAAACATCTTCAAGAATTTTGCCAGCGGGCGAAGGACATTAAAGGCGTAGACCGCTTTTAAATTACTGAAAAATTTTTTCTGAACCATGCGCATAGTAAAGTGCAAGTAAAAGAAAACGTGGCATGATTGCACGCTGTTTTCCCCATCGCGAGCACCCGTGATTACGCACATCTGGTACAATGCGCACAATTTGCCAGAACCTGCTGCTTGTGTGGAGTTATGGTCGACATAAATCCGCATCACTTCAGTCAGTGAAGACCGAAAGGTTGATAACACGCAACCTGGTCTTGCCGTTGTGTTATTTTAGATAAATTCTGCATTCGTTGTATTAGTATTTATGTTGTTTTTCTCTCTTGTATTGGCTTTTTAATACAATATTTTTCTACCGTAATAATACTGCATATAACATGTACTATAAGTTTATATTACCGTTCTTATGTTACCGTGTATTTTATTTTTTTTTACTTCCTGAACTGTTGTTTTGCTCTAGGTGGTTTTTAAAGTGTTGTCGCCGCACATTCCGCTTGCCGACCCGTATGCCGAAGAAATCCAAGATCTGCTGCGACTCACGAATCTGCGGATAAACTTTACCAAGTTGCACACGCTCGGTGACAATATCCTCGACCGTCGTCCGGAAATCACCGAGAAGTACTACTACGCAGTTTACAACATCGTCGTCCGCGGCTCTTGTTCGTGTTACGGTCACGCTAGCCAGTGCAAACCGATCGAAGGCGACTACGTGACGTTTGTCGAGTCTCATAGGGCGGATATGGTAATTTTTTATTTAGTAATTAAATCGTTGTTTAAATTGTTGAACGTTGAGCAGGTGGGGAATGCGAATTCTTTGTACAAGTATACAGCGTATCGTACAGTGTAATGATATCATCAGTCATCATCATCTTCATCATCATCATCTTCCATCGCCGCTTCTCCTTTCGGGTCGCGGAGGCAGACGCGTCAGACA